CCAGGGAAGCCGAGGATCCCTGGGATGGGTTTGCATCCCCGAGGTGGGTTTGCATCCCTGTGAGCCGGGCAGTAGGATCCAGGTAGGATCTAGGCCAGGATGGAAAGCTGGAAAGCCGGGATTAAACCAATCCCGAATTAAAGGGTGGGAATACGACTAATGCCAACTCGGCTCTGGGAGGTGGGAGACGACCCCGGTGTCACCTCGGGGGTCACCTCGGGATGTTTGGGATGCCAGAGGTTCCCTGGATGGCTCCAGGTCCTGCAGGGAACAGGGAGAAGCTGCCCGAGGGCTCCCTGATGGAGAAACAGGCCCTGGCACCCAGGGGGTGATTCAGCCCTGGCACCCAGGGGGTGATTCAGCCCTGGCACAGGATGCCCGGGCAAGTCCCGGCACGGCCCCGTGGCTGCCTTGGCAGGGCCCTTCCTGCCAGGCCCCAAAAACCTCCTGGACCCCGGCCCCGGCTCCTGCCACGTGTCCCTCGCTCCTCCACGGAAAAAATGGAGGGTGGGAAAGGGATGGAACCCACCCTGGAGGAGGGAAAAGCGTCGGAAAATCCCCCCTTGAAGCCACGAGCGTCGGTTCCGGTCGCCAAAATGGTTTCTCCGAGGGTTGCAGGGACCTGTCACGGCTTTGTCCCCTCCACCGAGGGGTTTTTGGGGGTCCTGGGGGCTGTTGGGGTTCCTGCCCCAGGGGTGGATGGCACAGGGAACGGGGAAAAGCACAGGGAAGAGGGAAAAGCACAGGGAAAAGCCGCCACGGACACGGCGAGGTCATCCCGGAGCCAGGGATGGAGTCAAACCAGAGGCAGAGCTGGATCAATTCACCCCAGAGAGCAGCTCCAGAGCGAGGGCTCCACGTGCACCACGGGGTCATCCCGGGCAAGCGCCCGCAGGAGGCTCAGGGAGCCCCTGGAGCGGGAAAATTCCGGGGGCAACGGCACAGACAAAGGTCCCCAAACACCCAGGGCACGATGCTGAAACCCCAACCCCCGGCTCCTGCACGGCCCCTGGGCCTGGGGAGGGGGGTGAGGGGCTGCTGTCCTCCCTCCCTGAGCCCCCAGGGGATTTTCTTACCCTGCAGTGGCCCACGGGCATCCCAGATCCCATCCTGGCACCCCAAACCCCATCCTGGCATCCCCAAACCCCATCCCAGACCCCATCCAGGCATCCCAGACCCTGTCCAGGCATCCCAAACCCCGTCCAGGCACTCCAGACCCCGTCCAGGCATCCCAGACCCCGTCCAGGCATCCCAGACCCCATCCTGGCATCCCAGACCCCATCCTGGCACCCCAGACCCCATTCCAGACCCCATCCAGGCATCCCAGACCCCATCCTGGCATCCCCAAACCCCATCCTGGCACCCCAGACCCCCTTCTGGCACCCCAGACCTCATCCCAGACACCATTCAGGTATCCCAGACCCTGTCCAGGCATCTCACCCCCCCTCCTGGCATCCCAGACCCCATCCCAGACCCCCTCCTGGCACCCCAAACCCCGTCCAGGCATCCCAGACCCCCTCCTGGCATCCCAAACCCTGTCCAGGCATCCCAAACCCCATCCAGGCACCCCAAACCCCATCCTGGCACCCCAAACCCCCTCCTGGCACCCCAAACTCCATCCAGGTATCCCAGCAGGGAGGGAGGACAGGCAGGTTCCCGCTGCCATTCCCAGCATCTCTCAGGCTCTGCCAGGACCAGCAGGACCTTCCTTGGCCTCCTTCCCCCCTCCGGGAGCCACTGGGAGCATCAGCAACATCCTGGCCCGGGGCCAGCCGGGGTGGCCTCGTGCCCAGCCAGGGTGGCCTCGTGCCCTGGCACCGTCCCCTCCCACGCCAGCACCGAGGCTGGGGTCACGGGGCCACATCCTTCCATCCCAGATCCATCCCAGCCCCATCCCAGTTGCATTCCAGCCCCATTCCAGCCCCAGCTCTATCCCAGCTCTATCCCAGCCCCATCCCAGCCCCATCCTAGCCCCATCCCTCCCACCCCAGCATGAAATTCAGGGTCAAGGAGCCACATCCCTCCATGCCAGCCCCATCCCAGCCCTATCCCAGCTCCATCCCAACCCCATCCCAGCTCCATCCCAGCCCTATCCCAAGTGCATCCCCTCCACCTCAACATGAAATTCAGGGTCACGGGGCCGCATCCCTCCATCCCAGCCCCATCCCAGCTCCATCCCAGGTCCATCCTTCCTGCTCCAGCACCGTCCCTCCCACCCCAGCATGAAATTTAAGGTCAAGGAGTCACATCCCTCCATCCCAGCCCCATCCCAGTCCCATCCCAGCCCCATCCCAGCCCCATCCCAGCCCCAGTTCCATCCCAGCCCCAGTTCCATCCCAGCTCCATCCCATCCCCATCCCATCCCTCCCGAACCCGTCACCAGCCCAGGGACCAGCCCTGACCTCGAACCACCCGTTGCCACCCCTGCTGCACCATCCCAGCTCCCACGGGACGTGCAGCGAGTTTGCCAGGCCTCAGAGTCACGCTGGGGTGGCCCATGAGCCACGGGGGACTGGCACAAACCCCCCTCTCACCCCCCCAGAACCTGCAGCCACCTCTCCATCAGCACCCCCCCTTCTCTGCCCTTTCAATTTTTGCAGCTTTGGGAAAGGAAAGTGTTGGGGGGGGGATAAAAAACCAAAAAACAACGCAAAAACCAAAAGCACAGAGAGAGAGAGAGAGAAAGAATCGCCCAGAAAATGAATAAATATTTCAATTTGAGGCGCAATCACGGCGGGTGATTGAAACGGGGGGGAAGAATAATGGGTTTCATTTAGATAAGATACAGAAAATTATTTAGTGAGAAATGAAGAGTGATGAAACCCATTCAACATCTTTGTGTGCAAGGACATGAATGGCACCGAGCAGACCCACCGGCACGGCCCCGGGAAGGAACCCAGAAGTCAAAATCTCCCCTCTCTAGGGGGGAAGGAACCCCAAATTTTGCCCCCCAACAGCGGCAGGAACCCTCCCGGCACCGTGGTTTGGCCTCTCCGAGGCCACCGAGAAACTTCGAGGGTGGGATGGGGATGCCCGGGGATGGACCGGGGTGGGGGTTGGTCACCGGTTTGTCACCCCCCCCTCATCCCCAGGGATCCATCCAGGCGGATCCAGGGAAGAGCCGGGCCCCTCTCACCGCCGGAATCCACATGGATCCACATGGCACCGGGGCGGGAGAGCGGCAGCTTTTGTTCCCGGGAGGGCAGCGGAGCCCCCGGCGTTGGGGAAGGGGGGAGTGGTCCAGACCCTGCCCCCCGACCCCCTAAGAGGCTTTACACGCCGCTTTTTAAACCCCCCCGGGTCGACTCGATTTTTTTTTTATGTTGTTTTTTTTTTCCCCCCCTTCCTCCTCTTGGCATCTTAGCAACGCCGCCCCCTTCATTAAAAATTAGATTGGATTTTTTGCAGATCTTGGGGAAAGGAGCTCGGAGAGGCCTCGCAGGGGCCGCGGGGCGATGCCCGGCTCCGGCTCAGACCCCAAAAACTGCTGCGGGGCGGGGGGGGGGGCACGGAAGGCCCGGGGGAGGAAGGGGGGGGGACAGCGGGGCCGGACCCTCACCCCGCTCCTCTTCCTCCTGGTGACCTTGGCAGAGCCATTCCCGGCGCCTCAGTTGCCCCGGGAGGGCAGCGGGGGGGTCGCACAGGGATGTGGGAGGGGGGAAGGATCGAGCTGTGCCCCCCCGACCCCCCTCTTTCCGACTGGGAGCCCTTGGGGGGGGAATTTGGGTGGGAAAAGGGGGGCCCGCGGTCCCCATGGTGCCTCTTCCGAGGGATGGCCGCGTTGGGAGCGGGGGATCCTGGATGTCCCCCCCACCTCGGAGATGTCCCCTCCACTCCCCGCAGACGGACGGACGGACGGACGGACGGACGGACAGCAGCCCCCCCCTCGCTTCCCGCCATGGCCAGGCCGGGTCCCCTCATCACCCTCACCCCCCCCTCCCCACGGTGGGTGCCCAGGGCCGAGACCCCACTGCTGGGCACCCTCTGATCCCGGGGTCACCCCCCCAAACCCCCCAAAACCCCGACTGGCCGGGCTGGGAACCCCGCGGGACCGGGATGGGGGGGCTCGGGACGGGGGGAGACACAAAACCTTGACCCCAGAGCGGAGCATCCAACAGGAGCGGAGCCGGGGGGGAGAACCGGCCCCGATCCCATCGGGACCCCCCGGTCCAGGAGGGGGGGACCACGAGGAGCAGCTCCGGGGGCCCCTCCGGGGTGGCACCGACGGGGGGAAGGGGTCCCCCAAATCCCCCCGGGATCGCCCCCAGCGGAGCCATCCGGCGGATCCCGGGGCCGATCCCTCCGGATCCCGGGGTCTGATCCCTCCAGCTCCCGCGGCCGATCCCTCCGGCTCCCGGGATCCGATCCCTCCGGCACCCGGGGGCCGATCCCTCCGAATCCCGGGATCTGAATCCTCCAGCTCCCGGGGTCTGATCCCTCCAGCTCCCGGATCCGATCCCTCCAGCTCCCGGGGCCGATCCCTCCAGCTCCCGGGATCTGATCCCTCCGGATCCCAGGCTCCGATCCCTCTGGCTCCCGGGGTCTGATTCCTCCGGCTCCCGGGATCCAATCCTTCCGGATCCCAGGCTCCGATCCCTCCAGCTCTCGGGATCCGATCCCTCCAGCTCCCGGGATCCGATCCCTCCAGCTCCCGGGGTCTGATCCCTCCAGCTCCCGGGATCCAATCCCTTCAGCTCCCGGGGATTCGCTCCCGGCCGGATCCGCGCTCATCCCAGCGGGGACGGGCGGGACCGAGCCGAGCTGGGCTGGAGCGGTGCCCGAGGAGTTGGGAATCGCGCTCCGGGGCGGCCCCGCGCTGCCGCCGCCCGGTGCCCGGTGCCCGGTCCCCCGATCCCCGGTCCCCGAACCTCGATCCCCGGTCCCCGCTCCCCAGCACCCGGTGCCCGCTCCCCGATGCGCGATGCCCGGTGCCCGCCGCTCCGGAACCCGCCCGATCCCCCCCTCCCCGATGCTCCGCGCCCCCATCCCCGGTTGCCCACCTTGCCCGCGGGTCCCGGCGAGAGTCAGCAGGCAGAGGAGGAGGAGGAGGAGGAGGAGGAGGGGGAGGCTCCGCATGCTCCCGTCCCGTTCCGGCCGCCGCTCTCCGGGCAGGGCCCGCGGGGGGTGGTCGCCCCCTCCCCGCTCGGCCCCGCGCCCCGGTACCGGCACCGGCAGGGCTAAAGCATGGCCCGGGGCCGGGCCGGGGGCCGGGCAGGGGCCGGGAAGGGCCACGAGCTCCGCCGGCTCCGCTCCGCGCCGAGCCCCGAGTGCGCCGCGGGAGGGGCGGGGGG